CTAATGGTTGAAGCAGGTAAGAGATATGTGGTAAAGATAATAAAGGCGAAGATATATTATATTTAGAGATGCAAGGGATCTCTTGATATATAAGGATTCTAGGAGAAGGCACCGGTAAGGAAGTATAATAGAAATCTTTTTTATTGCTTATTTTTCAACGCCTCTAGATATCATGATATTCGAAGTTAGTAGTGATATCTAGACATTGAATAGAGTTAAATACCGCCGAATTAGGCAATCAATGGTAATATTAGTGGTGGTGGTGGTGGTGGTGGTGTTAGTGGTGTTGGTGGTGTTGGTCGGAACGCGTTGGTTGGGGTGGTCGGGTAGGCAGTGGTGGTCGGGTCGTGCGGGATGACTCTAGGCAACCTGTCGGCCTAAGCACTCTGTCGGGTTCATCCGGCACGCAGCTGTCAGCTTTTAGTTATATAAGGCTATCAACCAACTTGGTTTCCAGCAACACAAACATTTCTCTCGCTTCATTCTATCATAACCCTCTCAATAACTGCCATTTATTATGAGATCAGTCGCTGGAGAATTCCCGCCGCTAGCGGCTCTTCCCAACCTTAGTCTGCACCCCTCCATAGACGCAGAACAGCTTAATGCAGCCAATATCACCGACGAGTGGCTCGCCTCTTTCTCAAAGAGCCTCTCCACAGGTCATTCAGATGCTATCCAAGCCCACTTCTTGGAGAAGGATTCTTGGTGGCGCGATTTCGTTTCCATCTCATGGGACATTGCATGCCATAATGGCTCCCAGGCCATCTCCAACTACCTCGCCAGCTCCACCAGTGGATTTTCAGACCCGAAACTCGATCAGCCTGGCGCATTACAACCGCACCTGGCTGACCTGGGTGGTATGCGCTTCATCCAGGCTGGGTTTGGGTTCACAACCAAGGCTGGCAAGGGTAGGGGTGTTCTTCGCCTGGCGAATGTAGGGCCCGAGGAGTGGAAGGCGTGGACGGTCTTTACTGTACTCGAGCGTCTGAATGGACAAGACGAGCTGGAGGCAGAGAGGGCGAAGGCGGCCGAGGTACAATCTAGTGGATCTGAACCTCAATCGACCAACGAGGACAGCGACCTGCAAGTCTTGGTCGTGGGCGCAGGTCAATCGGGCCTTGCTCTGGCCGCTCACCTACAGAATCTCGGCCTCAAGTACCTGGTCGTCGACAAAACAGCCCGCCCTGGAGACTCATGGCGTGCCCGGTACACGTCCATCAAATCACACACTCCGAGCTACATGGACCACTTCCCGTTCTTGAAGTACCCAACCACCTGGCCGCGCTACCTCGACCAGGAGCACATTGTCAAATGGATGGAGCACTATGGAGATCTTCTGGGTCTCAATGTCAGGCACGGCACGCTAGCAACCAACATTCAGTACAATACATCGACCAAGCGGTACTCGGTCGACCTCCAATCCAACGACGGCAGCGTACAGAGCATCACCACCAAGCACCTCGTCCTCGCGACGGGCCTCCTCAGCGATATCCCCATCAAGCCCTCCTTCCCCGGTGAGGACACCTTCAAGGGTCAGATCTTCCACACATCCGCGCATCAGTCCGCGAGCTTGATTCCCGACGTACAGAGCAAGAAGATTACCATCATCGGCGCCGGAACAAGCGCACACGACGTCGCCCAGGACTTTGCCAGTCATGGAGCCAAATTGGTCACAATAGTGCAGCGCAGTCCTCTATTCGTGACCTCTCTCAAGTCCGTGGAGGAGATCCAAGTGAAGCTGTGGGATACGCCGGGTTTGAGCACCGATGATGCGGACCTTCTGGGTAACTCGTTCCCCACGGCCGTTGTTCGGACTCTCAGTGTTGGTGCGTCGCAGATGATGTCCATGTTGGATAAGGACATGTTGGATGGGCTGGAAAAGGCCGGATTAGCGGTCAAGAGAGGGGACCAGGGCGATAGTCTCGTTGATCATCAGCTGATTAAGGGGGGTCATTTCTATATTGATCAGGGCGCATGCGGGATGATTCTCGATGGTCGGATCAAGGTGCAGAGATGTCAGGAAGGCGTTAGGGAATACTACCCTGGAGGAATTACCCTCGCCGATGGTACCCAGATCGAGTCTGATGTTGTTATCCTTGCGACGGGTTTCGAACGCACGGACAAGCTGATCGAGCGCATCGTGCCTAGGGAAATCTTGGTCAAGGTGCCGGGCTTGATCTGTAGTTTGGATGGGAGTCAGGAACGGTTTGGTGTAAGTTTGCGTAGAGCTCCGCATCCCGTGCAGTTAACAGATGGCTAACGTTCTCACTCATAGGTATGGAGACCGACTGGAATGCCAGGGTTCTGGTACATGACGGGCAGCTTTTCCTGGTCGCGCCAGTTCTCTCCCGTCCTGGCTTTGCAGATTGCTGCTGTCGAGTGGGGACTGAACAAGGAGTATCAGGGGTAAACCAAGATGAAGTGTCCTGTTGATATAAATCTATTAATATATCATGATTATTACCACTATAAACCAGTCCTTGATAGATATCACTTTATACGGGTTAAGGTTTAAATATCGACCAACTACTAGACAGAGTATCGACAATGTACAGCAACTTACATATATGAGGTCCAGCAGCGTAATTTAAAATGTCCCTGGCAGTAATCCAGGAGAAAAAATTCAATCAACCGCCAGGGTGTCTGTTCCTTATGGCTGAGCTGGGCCTTCTCTGAAAATTTAAATTATGCATAATCCGTAGAATCATTAACTTGACTGTCTTGCTATTGTTACTGTCGCTTTGGTATATACATATGGTTATCTCACTGCAGGAAAGCGTTCTTAGACGATAAGCCATGTGGTATTCTGCATGCCAAGACCAGGCTGCATTAAGCTTACATTTTGAGAGAAGTGAGATTCCTGTATAGAAGCCATAGCAATCGAGTAAGCACTGAACATATGCTAGGCTAGCTACAGACTTGATGAGGAGAAAGTAGCTAGGTAATCACAAGAAACGATCCTTTTCTGTGGGAGATGGAAGAAGAAAATTCAAATGAATACTGAGTTCTGTCTCACTTCTCCTGCTGATCATCCTGTTACTTTCTACAATATTGGTGGAAGTAGCAACAATCACTGTAGTGGTCATAATGGCATGGCAGTTCCCGAAAGATAACCTAGGTCGTATCCATTATCTACTCATTTCCCATATAACCGCTTCATGATTCTATCATCAACCTACCTACATTCAGTGTAGCATTCTGCATTAATTACGAGTCAGGATAGCTCGGAGAATGTATCCAGCATCGGAATCTCTGAGTCCATGACGATTATACCAGAAGGGGATCGAACGGATAATTTTTGTGACGGCATGACGTTCAGTGGATCCCGCAAGGAACACCATCCGTGAGCTCAACTGACTCCACCTTCTTCCACTCACATAATTATCTCACAGTCCCTGGCATCCCAGCTCCGGTAACTGAATTTGTAGCTGTGGCCGTCGAACCGTAGCATTTCCAAACTTTGCCCCTGTTGCATTCCGCGGAGAATTACCCGAACCCAAACTTTATCTCCTAGGGCTTGTCCTGCTTAATAAGGTCCAAGCCATGCAATCTGCATGCCAGAACACTAGTAGATAGTAGATAGTAAGTACGAGATGCTACATACCAAGCAAAGAGTCAATGATTCTAAGACACAATGGGTGTCTTATTTCAGCTCGCCTCAAAATGTTACAGTATTTTTGCTCCAAACCCATCTAATATAAATACTATCATCTCTACTCCTCCCTTTCTTCGCACATATCAATCAATCATCCACTGCTTAATCTCAAGCACAAGGTTAGAGCAACCATAACCTTAAAGCTTACTGTTTCGCTATAATCAACATCCACCCATACAACGAGAAAATGAAAACCATCCTCTCCACCACCCTCCTCTTCGCCCTCACCTGCCACGCCGCACCCAACTTCCGCATCGGCTATCGCGGTGGAACCGAGTACGCCCTCCCGATATTAGACGCGGAGAACGCCAACGAAACCATAGCCTTCAGCAGCAACATATACGGCATCCCCAACCTGGATCAGTGGGAATCCATCAACACCAATCAAGGATTCTTGATCCGCAATGTTTTCTTGGGATCTTATATTAGCTGCAGCGGGCAGTCGACAAGCTGCATTCTTTCTACTGAGGATGACGGAACCTTCTTTCAATCAATCCAGACGGAAAACATTAGTGGAGTGAACTACTATCATCTTTTCGCTACGATTGAAGATATTGATGGGGGAAACATGTGGGTTCTTGAAGGTGGGAAATATCTCCACATCGGTGTGTTTGACGATCAAAATGAATTGCAGGAGATTTCGCTTGTGCAGGATTAATTGGAGTATTAAAAGTTTATAAAGTTATACATGTTTTTGGTCCTTCTGCTGAGCCGTACATACGTACATACATACATGTCTGAGGTGGCTCAGAACAAGAAATCAGAATCATGTTGCGCTACGTATTATGACGTTGTGTTAATTACTATTAAGTGCTGAAACTCCATCCAAGGACTGTAATCTGATAGGCCATTGGCTGGAGTGAAGTTTGGCTTCACAATAACTCTTTGCTTTCATTTACATGGATAGTATATAATACATTAAGTTGTGAACTAGAGATCGTCATATCTGGACTCATTCATTTTAGGAGCAGTATTCTCTTTAGACCATCGAGGCGATCTGACCTACATTATTGCACAGTGAAACTACCGCTTCAATTTGGCTGGTTAGGTTGTTGTACTGGAATGCAGGATGCCGAATCTTATGGTTATTACATGCCCGTCTGCCTTACTGCGTGAGACAATTTAACTTTTGAGTTTTTAGGGGGTATTCAATCAGCTATGGGTTTACTGTCTCTTCCTTGATGTCCTCCTTTACTATTTCATCTACTTTCGAATTAGACCACTCCACATGCGCTTGTTTAGAGCGGACTTGGCTTGAGCGTGGAATTTGGATGAGGGCATGTCGCAAATGAACGGTGGGTTTAGAAACATTACCAACTACGATTTCTCTAATCTTCGTCTAAATGGTCCTGAAGTTCGCTACTTAACCTATATGGGATTTCCTCTGATACGTGTTCCATTTTCCAAATTCCTTGAAGATCTCATTGAATCCGGATCTGACACCACTGATGTAGAACGCAGTTCAACTGCAATATCGCCGTGGCCACCGAAGAATAGACAGCCCATCCCCATAACCATATCATACCAAGGAAAACCGCTTATTCATTCCTTTCATTCCATCCATGTCACGATTTTCCCATAAGAGACTGCTGTGCATTTTTTCCAACTCTTCAAGTCAGACACATTTACTTGGGAGTATCTGGGCGCTGTCCCATGCCAGAGAACTCTGCACTCATCTGGCTGGTACTCATAAGTTCCTCGTCATCAGAAGACTTCAACTCCTCCTTGACGGTACTGTTTTCGAGCTCCGTGTCGTGTTCTTCCTTCTTCACGGCGACTTTGCCTTCGGCCGGAGTGGGAGTAGTGGCGCCTCCAGATTTTCTATGTAGAAGTAATACAATCAGCAATAGGGACAGGCGCAAGGGGTAACAAGTACCTACGGAACCTCTGTCTTCACAGCCTTCGGCACAGAGCGAGGGGTCTTCGGGGTCTTCGGGGTCGCTGCCGTCTTCTGTCGCTTCCCCTTGGAAGGAGTCGGAGTAGTGTCGATAGCACCAGTGTTGTCATCATCGGCGACAGCCTTGTCTTTGCCAGGCTTTGCGGGCGTTTTCTTGGGAGTAGCGGTGGTGGAAGCGGATTCCTTTGCAGGACTGATAGAGGTACCGGCTTCTTGATCGGCCGGGTTATTATGGATATCGAAAAGCCTACGCTTGGCCTTGTGATAGAGAGTACTGGCAGATTGAGCGTTCTTGTAGCCTCCCTTGACGGCCATCTTATCAAAGTCAACCTGCAGTTGTTGTCAGAGTTTCTCCATAGCTGGAAGATAAGGGTATATACTTTGCCAGATTTATCGGAACTCAGCACACCAAGAATGATCATCCGCGCTTCGGCCATACTCAGCCCCAGAAGGGTTTCGGGTTGGTTGGGCTTTAGTGCAGACATGATGATGTGCGGGAAGTAGTGGAGATTTGAATGTGATGGTAGGAGCGACTTAGGGTGAAGTTAGGAATGGTAAAGAAGAAGTAAGGGAAATAGTGAGATCAGAGGTGAGAGTTGGCTGCGTGTAGATGATGAACAGGTAAAGTCCTTGGCAAGGAAAGAACTGTGTTGCCACCAAATCAAATTGTGCAAGAGCAGAGATAGACCTGAGTTACAGAGCTGTGAATGAGCTGAAGGCAACCAGCTTTGCTGGCTACCGAAGCAAACAGCGAAAACACAGACCTGGGTTTTTGACAGCGATCGTGTACCGTCAAAGTTCCTCCTCTGCTGGTTGGTATCGAACATGTTCAGTGAATATCTCAGTTCTGTTTCTTTAAGCCATTGTTCTGGATTTTCTTGAACACGTCATCCCACAAGGTAGGAAAGTAGTTTGGGGACTGGGTCGAGCGCTGGGCTCTCACATCCGTGTAAAAGTGTTGAGGGGTTTTTCCTGCCCACCAAGGAGAGGGCGCGGGCTTTGAATTGGTAAAGGTCACAGGCCGGAGAATAGACTTGTTGAGAACCAAGTCCCCCAGTCTGACCTCTGTCTGCTGAGGCAACGAACTTGAACGAATGGTAGTCATGTACAAGGTGGCCGTGGGCGGCAGGTTCTTCACATATTCAATCATTGTCTCGCGAGAGCGGCGGGCAAAGGCGGGAATGGCAACGTGCACATAAACGACGAACGGGGCTGTGGTATAGAGGATGAAGATCATCGGAAGAGTACCGCCAATTGCAACTATCCAAGGGTCAGCAGGAGTATATCGGACAAGCGACCGTGCATACTTACTTGCAGGGGCGAGGTACCATGGATGCTCATCCGATGATGCGAATGCTGGTGCAAGAAGGAAACAGGAAACTCCAAATATTAAAAGAGAAACGAGCTTCAATGTTCCTACTACAGCTGTCCTCCCTTTTCCGCTATAATACACCACTACCTTCTCCGGTGGCCCTACAAATATCGAATCAGCACGATTTTCTCCTTATCCTGGCAACTTAGCGGGGGAGCAATACCTTTGCGAAACGTCAATTTAGCATGTTTGGTAGGCGAGGCCTGTGGGTTCCGAGGAGCAACAGGCTCCTTTCGCTTGATAAAAGGAGCACTAGGCTTCGGCGAAGGAATAGGGTTCTGGGTTGTCTTAAATCGAGCAAATAGCTTGCTGTTGAGGTCTCTCCGCACGCTCCGGGGAAGTGCGGAGCGCAATTGCGCGCTCAGCAGGATGACAGGACGCATTGAGTGGTTTGGCGAGGGGGCCTTATGAGTTCGCGCTGAGCTTCCAGCGGTATATTCGCGCCAGTTGGCAGGTCAAAAGAGTCGAACGAGCAATGTGAAGACTGACTTCAGTGCGAAAGGATGGCCGGGTGACTTTTTTCCAAGGAAATTGGAGAAGCTCCGCAACGTGATCCGGCTTGGCGGTCGGAGGTTCGATTGACGGGCCGACAATAGATTGGAATAGACTTGAACCTCCCCCAATCACCATCACTTCCTCAACAAACCACCCCCTGGCTTTACTAGTCGGCATCGTCACCATCCTCCTGCATTGGAGGCTGTTTAGACGCTATCCATATCCTTTGCGATGAAGACGCGCTGACCCCAGTCGCTCCGCTATTCCGATGTATTCAGCTTATCGTGGCCTTCTGGCCCCCTTGCTCTCCATCTACATCACCGTCCTCTTCCTAATCGCTCCAGGCAACGCATACCAGGCCGTCTCGGATCAGACACTAGAATCCCTTCCCCGCCCGAACGATGATTTTGATATTCATACTGGCGCCATCTTGTCCCCGATCCTGAGGCCTCGTGTGTCTGGGACCTCCGGATCGACAGCCGTGCTGAATCACTTCGTCGACTTCTTCCGGAACTCGCTCCCTGACTGGAAAATTGACTTTCAAAACTCGACATCAAAGACACCTGTGTCGAATGGAAAAGATGTGCCGTTTGTGAACTTGATCGCATCCCGTGACCCCCCGTGGGCGGCCCCCGGCGACGTTGGGCGACTTACTTTGGTCGCCCATTACGACAGTAAATACGAACCGGAAGGATTCATTGGAGCTATTGACAGTGCAGCGCCTTGTGCCATGATTATGCATGCTATGAGGAGCATCGATGCAGCCCTGACAAAGAAGTGGGAGGCCATGCAGGCACAGGGCGAAACAAATCCGTTGGATGAGCAGACGGGCGTTCAAGTGCTTTTCTTGGACGGTGAGGAGGCCTTCAAGTATTGGACCGACACCGATTCCCTCTACGGTGCTCGCTCGCTCGCCGAACAATGGGATTCAGATGTCCACCCAGCCATGTCCATCTATAAGACTCCTCTCGCTTCGATATCCCTCTTTGTCCTCCTGGATCTGCTAGGTTCGAAAGATCCAACCATTCAGTCATTCTTCCCTACTACACACTGGGCCTACAAGAAATTAGCTGCACTTGAGCGCCGTCTGCGACGGCTCAACCAGTTCAAGTCCGCCGGCAATGATCCCGATCGACAGCGGCTGTGGTTCACCCATGCCTCCAAAAGCGAGCACGAGATTCCTTACTATTCCGGTATTCAGGATGACCATATCCCCTTCATGAAGCGCGGAGTAGAGATCCTCCATGTAATCGATGCGGGTCCCCATGGGTTCCCGCCAGTCTGGCATCGCATTGAGGACGATGGCGAACATTTGGACCTGGCGACAGTAGAGGACTGGAGCTTGTTGGTTACCGCATTTGCGGCAGAGTGGATGGAGCTGGAGGGCTTCATGCCGGGATCTGAGCAGGAATCTCGAGAAGGTGCCCATGGAAGGAACAAGCGCACTGGCTACGATGTCAAGACTGAACTGTAAGCATTGTCTGAATATATTTACATTTTCTACTGGCCATTGCGGCCCTCGATGCTCTATGTACATTTTTTGCGCGATATATTTATGAGCTGTGCTGATGCCTGATTGCTTGCATAGCTCATGAATGGAAACACTCGGCCATCCCGCCGCGCATGGCCCTTCCAGAACGGCTTTTGGTACAGCACCACCACTCTTTCGCAACAACGAGAAAGCAAATCACATCAAATTCCCTAGCATAAAACCAGTCATCTCTGCGAGCCCCCAAACCGGCTGGAGCACACTGCGCAGGATGGCTGGACCTGGGCATACTCCACGTAGTCCCCAGGCGAGGCCGAAAGCGACCCCGCCTGCCACAAATTTCCAGTCAATATCTGCTACAGTCGCAGTGGGAAGTCTCCATTGTTCCGCCAGAGTGGGTGTGGACCGTTCCGCCTTGTTATCGGTCTGTTTCCCTGGTTTGGTCGACAAGAAGGTTATCAGTGACGGGCCAATTCCGAAGAGGATTATGAGTGCCAGTGATGGATCGAATCGCGATGGGTCAGACAGGAAGGCAAAGAACCGCAGGACCTTGGCTGGGTCAGCCATTCCAGAGAACAGCAGGCCTACGCCAAATTCCAGACCCGCCAGATACGAAAATATAGTCCTTGAGCGTTCGGATCTCTCGAGGGTACGGGGAACGACGACAAAGTTCATTACGAATGTAACCACTGTGGTGGTGAGCATGACGGCGAGCTCCGCAGTCGATGGATAGACGGGCATGTAGCAGGGTGTTCCACCGGCACACGGAGGGATGTTGGAGCCGCCAGCGAAGAAATTGGCTGTGAGTAGGGCGGTGGTGAAAAAGACAGCGGTAGCAATGAACGAGCGTGGCGACAATCGAGAAATACCACAGAGCATGTGGCCGGACGTGCAACCTCGACCATTCTATCCCATAATACCATCAGCACCTACAGCTGTCTTTTCTCGAGAGGGAACTCAGCTTCATTTACCTTTGTACCCCATCCCAGCAGAAACCCGTGGCCCACGGTCAATAGCCACGACCCCCAAGAACTTGGTGCAGTGGGATATGATGGAATGGCGGACGGCAAGAAAAGAGCGACGGGGACAACACTCGACGCCAGACCAGCAATGAGAGCCACATTATCCCTCGTCGGATTCAAAAGAGCTCCCGACAGGAGCGAGGATATGCCGAAAACCGCCCCATTATGCAACAGCAATCCCGTAGAGCCCTGGAAGAGCATCAACGCCCCGAACGTGGTATGCACTGGCGTGAACATATCGTGGCTATACAGATAATAGTAGGAGTAGGTGATCGAAGATGAAGAATACCTTCATCATACAAGCAATAAACAAGATCAAGGCGAAAATCGAGCCATTAGAAAGGATCCCAGTCCAGCAACATCACAATGCGAAATGTACGGGACGAAGGAAATTGTAACGGCGACTTCCTTCACCGATTTTGAAGTGAACAAAGAAGCCGAGTGAGTGAGTGGCAGTTCGGGGACCACACATTCCAATCACATACGGTGACAGAACTGGTCCCCGAAACCAGAACCAGAAACTTGAAGGGCCGATTTGGGCGGGAGTCCCCGAGTGAGTGAGTCTCAACCATTTACTTTTTCCTCCTCTCATTGAGAATTTCTAAAGAAGCTTTGGTGTTGCGGATTGCAGCACATGGCTATATAACTATATACATTCATTGTCTATATCAGGTCATCATTAATGCAGGGATGGTATATTAAATTCTAATCCTAGCTGCAGATATCACCCTCGTGGACCAGCGGTTCCTTCGGACGGTCGGGGAGAGGATGTGCAGGGGAATAAGACGATCGAAGGGGAATGGAAGGATGGAAATGCCGGGGATTCGTTGGTTAGTGCAGATTTTAGCTGGCTTGGTCCCCGACCCGGTCGCTGACTATCTTCACAGAACCATGGATCAGTCCATCAGTGGTCGAGTAGATCGATGGGATGAGGCAAATGAGTGGGTGTACATTGATTTTGTGGTGAGGATTTATTTGGAATTGGGTACTATTTGGGGTTGATTGATTTGTTATTTGTTCGGAGAATTTCCCCTTTGTTATATTTATATCATTATGGGGAGAAGTGATGGGATGGACATGGTGCTTGACATTGGTTGCGCACTGTCTAGTATCTACCCTTTCTTTAGTGGATATAGGGGTCGAAATCAAAGTTGCATACCACACTATTGAGATGATCTTACTGATTGTGATTTGAGAGATATTTGGATCTTACACTGATGTCCAGTGGTTGTTCCTATAGTACTCAACCTTCCCGCCTTTAAGCCGGGACACATTCCATC